ACAGAGAGTCCAAGCCACAAGCTTTTGTTATCATTCTTTCTTATTCTATTCTTAGCTAGTCTTCTTATGAAATCCTTTCTTCTATTCTTTTAGTATAGTTTTTATATAATATATATCATAAAATAATAAATCAAGCCTTCTGAAACATGGAGTCAGATCCTCATCTCTTCCCTGTGAACACAGGGCCCCATGGAGAGCAGAGGCCTAAAGATAGGAAATGCCAAGTCATGGCAAGCCCCTGTCTTCGGCCTTTCAGACCCCAGCTTATCTCTCTGTAACCCTATAGGTCAATTCTCCTTAACCCCTGCTATTGGACAATTCTGGATACCCCTATACCCTATATAATGGGTATAGGGGTATCCAGAAGAGCCCTGGCTGGAGCCCTTCACAGACCCCCAATAAAGACATCGCTGTGGAACTCCAGAGCAGCCTTCTCTCTCTCTCTCTGCATCTGCCGGCTGGCCAGCGGTGCCTTAGCAAGCAAAAGAGCTGAACTCAAAGAGCTGATAATCACTAAAGAGCTGATATTCCTTATGCTTGCTAAAGGTAGGCAGTGACTGAGAGCTGCTTGGGTTTCGGGCAGTCTGTCCCATAGAGGACTGAGCTATCCGGCCCGCACAGCCTGCTCGGGGGCAAACCTGCTCTCAGCAGGGACACCCCATCCCACTGGGGGGCAGTGAACAGCTGGCTGCAGTGCTTCCCTTGCTGGGTACAATGGGCTATTATATAATGGGCTGGTTTAGCCCATTCTGGTTAGAAGAGCCGTCGCTGGAACCCTTGACAGATCCCCAATAAAGCCATCACTGTGGAACTCCAGAGCAGCCTTCTCTCTCTCTCTCTGCATCTGCTGGCCGGCCAGCGGTACCTTAGCAAGCAAAGAGCTGAACTCAAAAGAGCTGATAATCACTAAAGAGCTGAAATCCCTTTTGCTTGCTAAAGATAGGCAGTGACTGAGAGCTGCTTGGGTTTCGGGCAGTCTGTCCCATAGAGGACTGAGCTATCCAGCCCGTACAGCCTGCTCGGGGGCAAACTGCTCTCAGCAAGGACACCCCATCCCACTGGGGGGCAGTGAACAGCTGGCTGCAGTGCTTCCCTTGCTGGGGACAGCAGGACCTGGCCCCACTCACTGCCTTGTACTCCATGAGCTCCATCTGCAGCCGGGCGATCTCGGCGCGCAGGGCGCTGATCTGCTGGCTCGTCTTGTCCTGGTTCACCACCACCTTGTTCTTGATGTTGCGAGCGCGGTTGGCGTACTTGAGCGTGTTCAGGGTCTCCATGAAATCCCGGTCAGAGGGGCTCACGCAGGCAATCATGATGGTTTGGCTTGGGGATGCAAGGGCAGGGTGAAAGACAGTCCCTGCACAGCTCAGCAATGCAGCAGGTGCAAACTCAGGGCTCAGCACAGAGCATGTGCCCCCAGACACCCGTCCTGGATGGGAGCCCATCCTGGGCCCTTCTGGGTTTTAAAACAAGGTATGAACTGGGTTCATCCCTCCCAGAGCCTGAGCACCCACAAGACCCCTCAAGCACATCACACAGCACTGGGCAAAAGCAGCCTTTCCTCAATGCCTCCCTCTTTGGAGAAGAGGCAGGGAATTCAATCCCATTCTGGGCACCAACACTTGCCAAGTCCCAGATCTGTCAGGGCTCAGGAGCATTTTGCATCAGCTGATTCTGCCAAAGCTGCTAACTGCACCTGAGGCTGATATGTCTTTACATCTGCAAAGTCATGCTGTGCCTGGAAGAAGGCATCTCTCCCTGTCCTGAGACAGCTCCTCCATACCTCCTGAGCCCCCTCAGCCCCATGGGCAGGGGGACAGCCCCTGCAGCCCTCAGCCCAAGCTCAGCCCCCACCTGGGACCCCCTTACCTGTTGCCCCCAAGGGAATCCTGCAGCAGGCGGGTGAGCTTGGAGTCGCGGTAGGGCACGTGCACAACCTTCTTGCTCTGGTCTCCAAGGGCACTGATGACATTCCCCAAGGCCAGCTACCAACACAAAGGGAAGCCCCCCAGATTCAGCCCAGGCTGAGGATACAACACATCAGGCCTGGGGCACACTCTGTAGCACAGGTTTGGTTGCACAAGGGGCAGGCGTGCGGCTGCCCTTAGCCTGGGCTGTGCCTCGCTCCATGCTGCACTGAGAAGCATCAAGCCCCAGAGGGGGTTTTTTAACTCTGATTAGTAGATCTCACCCTTTTGGGAGCTGCATCCCTGTGCCCAGCTGCACCCCTGCCCACAGCACGAGTCTCCTTTGGCAGCAGAGCTGTGCTCCCACCACTGGCACTGTGACACAGCCCAAACCCCAACCACAACAGCAGCACCCCAACAGCTCAGGGCAGCTCCAGGCAACACCCAGCAGTGTTAGAGGTTTCTCCTGTCAGGCTTTGCCCTGCCATCCCCCCTGCCCAGCAGTGCAGCCCTACCAGCCCACAGTTGATGGAGATGCCCTCCTTGGCTCTCTCGCCCGTGGCACCCGTCCGCTTCAGCCTCTCCGAGCCAGCCAGGTCCACAAAGTGAAACTTGGCTGTCAAGGTCTCGTACTCAGCAGCAGGTTGGGATCCATCCAGAAGGCTGCTCACCTCCTCATTCACCTGCAGCCAGGGACACACCAGGGGTCAGCACCCCAGAGGCTCCCTGGCCTTCACTCAGACATCAGCCAGAGTCTGAACATTCACCCTCCATATCGAGCCCCTCACAGATGGGGACAGCATCCCAAAGCAGCTTGCTCTGAGCCATCCTGCCCAGGATCAGCTCACCCGCAGCTCCCATTAAATCCTAATGAAGGCTATGACTGGAAAGAAAAATCCCTGCTTCTCTTTGCTAGACTTCAAACCCTCTCCCCTTCCCAAGGGAACTCCATGCATCAGCTGGGTATGGAACCCAAGAACAGCCTGGCCATGAGGCAGGAGCACATCTCACCAGCTCTGGGCGGGCACACACTCTTGTCTGGCACAGGTAAATAGTGAAGATGGCATGGGATCTGGAGCTCTGCACGTTCATCTGGGTGCTGGCCGTGGTGCGGGAAAGAGCTCCTTGCTTTAGGCACTGGATCAGCTGCAATGACACCAGGCAGGGAAGGAAACCTTAAAGAACCCTTTTAGGGAGTCAGGACAGACCCTGTGCAGCTCAGTGGACACACTGACCTTTTCCAGAACAGCCCCAGGACTGCACTCCCACCCTGGGAGAGATCTCCCCCTCTCGGGAGTTTTGCTGTTAATGGCAGCTCTGAGATATGTGAAAAGTCTCTGTTTCAGCCTGCATGTCCGAAGAACGAGCTGGAGTTCTTCAGTTTTCATTCTTAAAGTTGTTTATTAATTCTTATCTATAAAATTTTTCTCCTGCTCAGCTGAGATCCACTCAGCAGGGTAGCCACAGGCCTGACTCTGACCACCCCCAGGGTGGTGCTGCCTTTTTATACTACAAACTACCCATAACATGTTTATAATTACTTTCTAATACTTATCACTTATGTTAGACAGTGCACTTCTATTCTAAATTAATCCCAAAGTGCCAGCATCACAGCAGAAAATGGAGAACAAGAAGAAGAAGAAGAAGAAAGGCTGGACACACCCAAGTTCCTCTGTCCTGTCCCCAAAACCCCCATTCTAAAAATCCCAAAATCTACCCTTTCACCCTGTGAAAATTTTATTTTTACATTATTTAAACTTCTGCAATTTTCAGGTCCTCATACAAAGCTGGCAATTTGCTCCACAGGTCATAATCAAACCCACAGGTGCTCTGGGCTGTGTGCCAGGGTCTCTGAGCCCCCCAATGGGGACCTTGGCAACTCTGGACACCCGGAGGGATGCACTGAGTTCTGACATCCCCCCACCAAGTTGTCCCCACAGAGCACATCCCTGGCCACTGGCACCCAGCTGCCAGCCCTGCTCTGTGTGTGCCCCATGCTGCACCCACCTCATCCTGGGAGCTGATGAGGCGTGAGGTGACCCCCGTGGTGTAGATGCTCCCGCTGGCATCCTCGTGGATTTTGATGTTGGATTTGCGGTGGCGCGAGTCGGGGTCGCGGGTGCTGTCAAACAGGTCCAGGATCTCCTCGTTGTACAGCTGGGCAGGGCAGCAGTGGGTGTGGGTGAGCAGGGAAAGCACGAGGCTGCTCAAGCCTGGCACTGCAGGAGTGGCAGGAGCAGCCCTGGCACTGCAGGGCTGGCAGGAGCTGCCCCCTGGCACTGCAGGACTGGCAGAAGCAGCCCTGGCACCCTGTTGCTACTCCCCCATAGCTGTGTGCTCACACTGCCTACAAGGCTGAGCAGGGGAGCTGGGGTGTGTGCATGTGCACCAGAGGAGGCACAAGCACAGAACCATAGAACCCTTCAGACTAGAAAAGCCCTCCAAGATCATCGAGTCCAATCATTTACCCTGGCACTGCCATGTTCACCACTAAACCATGTCCCCACACATCTTCTGACCACTTCCAGGGATGGTGACTCTGGTGCATGTGTACCAGAGGAGGCACAAGCACAGGACTGTGGAACCCTTCAGACTGGAAAAGCCCTCTTATTCCATTGAGTCCAACCATTCATCCCAGCTCTGCCATGTTCACCACTAAACCATGTCCCCACACATCTTTTGACCCCTCCCAGGGATGGTGACTCCACCTCTGCCCTGGGCAGCCTGTGCCAATGCCACACCACAACTTCAGGGAAGGAATTTTGCCTAATATCCAACCTAAACCTCAACTGGCACAACTGGAGGCTGTTTCCTCTCCTCCTGTTCCTTGTCCTTGGGAGCAGAGCTTGACCCCAATCCATCCCCACCCTCCTGTCAGGAAGTTGTAGAGACAAAGATCCCCCTGAGCCTCCTCTTCTTCAGTCTGAGCCCCTCAATTCCCTCACCCACTCCTCATCAGACTGGTGCTCCAGAGCTTGCCATGCAAAGCTCTGAGCTTAGGGTCGGTCTCTGCTGCCCAAACCTGTCCAGTTCTGGTGCCCACAAGCAGCTCCACTGAGCAGACACCCAGGAGCTCCACATCCCCCTGATCCTCCTGGCTCACCTGGCCACAGAGCCAGTGAAACCCCACTCTCACCACAGCTCAAGGCATCTCTGTCAGGTTACAGGGGATAAGGGGGTGCTGAACAAGCAGGAAACCCAGAGCTGACTCCATCCATATCCTAACTCTGCAGCCCCTCTCAGCCTGGGGTTTAGGGACACCCCTGCCCATGAGTCCCCTGCTGCCACCATTCAGTGTCACTCTTGCACCCACATCTCAGTGCACAGGGCTGGGTCACCCCAGGACTGCAGGTTCCTGGCCAGAACAAGGGATCAGACTAATCCATCCCTGCTGCCCCTGGTGCCGCCAGGCTCCTCAAGGGTCTAAACCTGCTCCCAGAACCTGCTCCCAGCAGCAAAGTCACAAGACAGGGATCAGCCAGAACAAGTCCTGTGCCCCTGCCAGGACAGCAGAGCTGGTGACCAGTGCCTGACGTGGCCATGTGCTGCTTTAGCCATGCAGGACTTCAGGACAGGCAGGAAACTGCCCCCATTTCCACCCCAGCACAAAGGATCCCTCAAGAGAAGCCCCTGGGCAGAAAACCAGGAGCTTGGACAGGCCAAGTGATGGCAATGGGAGGACACAACAGCACCACAGGGGCTCTGCAGATGAAGACATAAGTGGGAAGGAAGTGACTTTGGGCCCTCTCCAAGCCATCAGCATCTGAAGACACCCAGATGTGATGGCAAACAAAGCCAAGATCACAGCACAGGGCCCCTCCCTGCCCATCTCCTCTTAAAACCTCAACCTCAACCAGATGAAGCTTGCTTGGGGCTCAGCTTTGCTCAGCACCACCCTGTGCTTTCTCACTGGGGCCTTAAAACAGATCCCACTTGCACCTCTTCACTTTTTCAGCCCAGGAGCAACCCCCACAAAAAACACTGCCAACACACAAGGTCCATGTGCTTCCCAGGACAAATTTCTCCAGGGAATGAAACAGTTAATGGAAGAGGTTTTGAACAGGAGAACCCTGGGCAGAGGCAGCAGAGGATGCATTCTCAAGGTCAGAGATGCAACAAAGGACATGAAAAATAGCCCAGTCCTTCCCCAAAACCCCCTCCCCACCCAAGAGTGGCACTTCTCCTCCTGTTTACTGGGAACTCTGGTCCAGAGTGAAGCAGGAGGAGAAGAAAGGGCTATCCTTGACTTCAAAGAGGGGTAAGACAGCCCAGAGCCCCTGGATCCCCAGGAGACCCAGCCATAAGACCCTTCCCCATGGTGGGAGCTCCCTCCACTCAGTTTGTAGCCATGCAGGTGCTTCGAGTCCCCACTGCACCAGCACACATCCCCATGCTTGTCA